GTCTCCCAGGTGCTAGTCCAAAACTCTAACCACTACACCACACTGGCTCTCTATAGTGAAGCACCCAAGACTCCCAGTTTTTAGATAAACTAGACTCAGATGAGTGATGATCACCTGAATTAATCATGGCTGCTTCCCATGTTACGTACCATTTCAACCAAATTTAGAAGTAACAATAAAATAACACGAAGCAAGGAGCAAACAGCCCCCCTGATTTAGAGTCAAAGTGCTACAAACTACTCCAAGAAAAAATAAATAAAGCAGAAATCAATTCACACTCGATAATGTCTTTTCCAGTTGAGGCTAGGATTAATATCTGAAAAGAAGGGAGAAGAATGTGAAACACTAATTAAGTGCAAGTCAAGGTCACTATTCACTCACTAAGGCCGTGTTCATACACCCTTTCACTGCGCATTCCCTGCGTTTCCAGAGCTGGGTTTTAATCTGTGTTCACATAATTCTTTTCCTAAAATGCGTGTGTATCCTGCACTTTGCTGTAGCATACTACTGCATGATGTGTTGCTTCTCAAGCCATCTTCACGCTGATTGGAGTCCTTAAACCGTTTCTAATTCATCTCTAGGCAAGGTGTGGATGTCTTCGCGTAGGGAAAAGGCTTCCTTGCCTATCCATGTATCCCGGTGTTTACACAAACAGAAATGAATCTGACACCAACGAAGCCATGCTGATTCGAACAGCTAGGTGAGGAAAGAGGTGTGAAACCACTGGGCAGAGGGGGGCAACTGTTCTCTTCTAAGGCAGTAATGTGAACAACACCCTAACATGTTCTTCCAAGCCACTGGTTCTCTTCCCTATACACTCCAGTCTTTCTAGGCAAGTGTTTTCATGCTGCTCAGCATCCAAGATGCTTCTTTGGACTGCACAGTTCCATACAAAAAGGGTGGCAAGATTCCCAAAGGCAACCTTCACACTTCTTGCTTTCTTCTTTTTTTAAATTAAAAAAAACAAAACTGTACTGTCTAATAGATGCTTTGTTGAGCTGTACATTTCTTGCTGTGAAAAATTACTCCTCATCTTGTGACAGGGCCTCCAGCTGAGTCTGCTGTGCTTAATTAGGGGAAAAATGCATATTTTAATCCGCCCTGTGGAGCCGTAACATTTTGCTATGTGGCCTTGGCAAAGCAGCCGTTTAACTGTTTCTGTCGAGGTTTCATTTGCGTTGTTTTAATGTCACAGTATTTCCCTTTATACCAACACCGCTGGCAGCATTCCCTCAGGTATCCAAACATGGACAATTAAAGGCCGCTCCATCATGTCGGGAACCAATGATATTTCCCCCTCGATATAGTCAATCGCCACAGACCAGCTGCTGGTGGCTCCTGTTGCCTCATCCTTCCTTTTGCCAGGAGACAAAAGCCTGTCCGTTAGCTGCTACGACCACATCGCCATTCTCTGACTAGCGACTGTTTGAAGTCTTGACCTTACATCCAAGTTTTTATCAGCTTGAGCACTGGCAGTCAACCCTCTTGATCTTGTGTTCTGAATTTCAGAGGAATCTGTGAAAGCTTTTTAACAAGCTGTTTGATTGTTCTGCAGGTCTCCTGCGAAAATATACGGATGGGACATTTGCCCATTGTGGATTGAACAAAAACCCAGTTATTGCTGGCTATGGCTCATGCAACTGACATGATTGTCCATTATTATAAATGGTAGTGCTATGAGTTTGGGGCTGTATGCCTGAGCCTCCTTCTAATTTCTGGACCCACCAGGGATTCAATTCCTGGAATAGTCAGGCTAACCTCCTGGTGAGGTAATGAATGGCCTTCTAAAGGTAACAAAGGAAGTTGTTGAGGGCGTTTCCCAGCCACAGGAATTCACAGAGCAGATGACTAGCTCTTTAAAGACAAAAATACATAAGAAAACAATATTGTTCCAAACACTTGTTTGAGCATAACACATCTACGAGTGGCCAATATTTCTCATATTAATGTAATTGTGCTTCATTTTTCATTCGCTTAAGTGAGATATAACAAGAAGACCTTTAAAAAATATGTTGCTGTGCCTCAGTTTCTAGACAAAAGCGAAAAGAAAAGAAAAAATTCCCACGACTGAATTTTGTGAAAACATATTTTAGAATGAGCAGTAACAGGGCAAGTAACCCATGGAGTCTGTGAGTAATTCCATGATCTAGTACTGTGGAGGAAGTGATTGCCTGCTGCCTCCGTAAGTATTCCTCCATATCATCCATAGGGTAGAACCTATTTTCCAGTGGAAAATCAGGCACTCTCCTGAAGAAGAGGTTTGATGTTGGAACCATGCTGAACAATACATTGATTTCTGTACACCACTGAGGTCTCCTTCCCTTTTGTTTCTACAGTTGGTGCCTTCCCTTCCTTCCTCTATTACTAGAATATTTGATTCCTATATCCCAGGGGTGGGAAATTGCCAGCCCCGATTCGGCAGCATGAAGCAAGTGCCTCAGCCACGTCACACTGCCACTTTTATAAAGGCAAAGGTAAAAGGACCCCTGACCATTAGGTCCAGTCGTGACCGACTCTGGGGTTGCGGCACTCATCTCGCTTTATTGGCTGAGGGAGCTGGCGTACAGCTTCCGGGTCATGTGGCTAGCATGACTAAGCCACTTCTGGCGAACCAGAGCAGCGCACGGAAATGCTGTTTACCTTCCCGCCGGAGCGGTCCCTATTTATCTACTTGCACTTTAATGTGCTTTCGAACTGCTAGGTTGGGAGGAGCAGGGACCGAGCAACGGGAGCTCACCCCGTCACGGGGATTCGAACCGCCAACCTTCTGATCGGCAAGCCCTAGACTCTGTGGTTTAACCCACAGCGCCACCCGCGTCCCTGCCGCTTTTATAGGCTCCCACCAATCACGCCACCTGCACTGACTGGCTCAAATGGTCTGGTGTGATTGTGGGGCCATACAGACAAAGTCTGGGCCATGACCAGCACCTTCAACCTGGCGGGGGTTGTCTCAGGGGCCCGTGCGCAACCAGGATCCTTGTTAAAGAGGATCCCATCTGTCAATCAGCTGGCAGGCAGGGTTGAATCCTCCTGGGTGTTGCAGACCCCTGCAGAGAGCAAGACTGCACACTCTGCTCATCAGTTTATGATGAGAGATTTCAATCCAGTTTAATGCTGCTTTGACAGCACATTACCAGGAGGAAATGTGCTGGTGACGCAGACCCCTTCAGGGAGCGGGAGCTGTCAAAGTTGGCCCACGAGGTGGGAGAAGATAATAATCTGACCCACTGGGCCAAAGAGGTTCTCTGATATAAGCAAATGTCCCCAAATGCTATTTACATTTGATAAGACTGGGGATAAACAAATAAAAATGGTGGTTGTGTGCTTCCTTGTTTATTACCATTATAAAACCACTCTTCAGCCATTAGGACCCCAGGACACAAATTTATATATTATTATTTGGTATACATATGTGTATTTCCCATAAAAAAAATACCAAAGCAGTGTACAACATAATCACACAATAAGCCACAACCAATATATAAATTAAGTATAAAAGATTCAGGTCACATTGATCAATGGTCTACACTGAGCTGGGTCAGGGGCGAACTTGGGTAATCTTTGGTAATATGGCACCCTGAGGAAGGCCAAAATTTAGTTTCCCAAATGCATCTTATCAATTATGGATCTTCTCAATTATGTACACACACACACCCAGCTTTGCACCCTGTGCAGGAGAACTGCCTACATTGCCCTAAATCCAGTGCTGGTTTTGGTTGCACTTCAGAAAAAATCAAGATGAATGAATAGGAACAAACATGAAAAACAAGGAGAAAGCCCAGCACCAGGAGCACAAGTGATATCTCAGTGCAGACAGACAGACAGACAGCTAGCTAGGTGATAGAGATAGATAGATAGATGATAGATGATAGATAGATATAGATAGATAGATAGATAGATAGATATAGATAGATAGATATAGATATAGATAGATGATATAGATAGATAGATATAGATGATGATAGATAGATAGATAGATAGATAGATAGATAGATAGATAGATGATAGATAGATAGATAGATAGATAGATGATAGATAGATAAATGATAGATAGATAGATTATAGATAGATGATGGATAGATAGATGATAGATGATAGATAGCTAGATAGATGATAGATAGATGATAGATAGATAGATAGATAGATAGAGATGATAGATGATAGATAGATAGATAGATAGATAGATAGATAGATAGATATAGATATAGATAGATGATATAGATAGATAGATGATATAGATAGATAGATAGATAGATAGATATAGATATAGATAGATGATATAGATAGATAGATATAGATAGATAGATAGATAGATGATAGATAGATAGATAGATAGATAGATAGATAGATAGATAGATGATAGATAGATAAATGATAGATAGATAGATTATAGATAGATGATGGATAGATAGATGATAGATGATAGATAGATAGATAGATAGATGATAGATAGATGATAGATAGATAGAGATGATAGATGATAGATAGATAGATAGATAGATAGATAGATAGATAGATGATAGATAGATAGATAGATACAGTGGTGCCTCGCAAGACGAAATTAATCCGTTCCGCGAGAGTCTTCGTCTAGCGGTTTTTTCGTCTTGCGAAGCAACCCTATTAGCGGCTTAACGGATTAGCGCTATTAGCGGTTTAGCGGCTATTAAAGGCTTAAAGGCTTAGGGATTAGCTGCTAAAAGGCTATTAAAGGCTATTAAAGGCTTAGCAGATTAGATAAAGGGGGAAAAGCGGAAAAAAATCTCGAGACTCGCAAGACATTTTCGTCTTGCGAAGCAAGCCCATAGGGAAATTCGTCCTGCGAAGCAACTCAAAAACGGAAAACCCTTTCATCTAGCGGGTTTTCCGTCTTGCGAGGCATTCGTCTTGCGGGGCACCACTGTAGATAGATAGATAGATAGATAGATGATAGATGATAGATAGATAGAGATAGATGATAGATACCTAGATGATAGTTCACTTTGCATTAATATCCCACCACTGGCACTGTAGTATAGTGGTAGAGCATCTGCTTTGCATGCAGAAGATTCCTAGTTCAGCATCTCCAGGGATACTAGGCTGAGAATATCCCACCAGAAACCATGTGAGAACCACTGCCAATCAATGTAGACACTACTGAGCTACATGGACCAATGTTGTCAGTTGGTATAAGGCAGCTTCCTATGTGAAATTCCTCAAAAAAACAAAGTGTTTGAGGACTGATGTTCCAGAGCTGTCAGGATCACACCTGCTGGAAGATCAATGCTCAAATCACTTCAGGATCATAGGCAAAGCGCCCATATGGCAGGACCTTCAAGTTTGCTGAAGGCTACAATCCAAGTCCACTATCTTTGAATTTATATTTAAACTTATGGACCTCTCTGCCAAGCACATGCATTTGGAATGAAGGTGCTTGCTAGTCCATCTTCTACACAGGTGTGAGATTAATAAATGTTCCTTGACATGCGCCCACCGCACTAAACATTTTAAACAAATAGGGAGGAAATAGTGTGAGACCATGTCCTGTTTCTTTCTGAAAGATAAAGATCCATTTCTGTGGTAAGGGATACTTTCCTGGGAGTGAGTCCCATTGAACTCAATGGGGCTTAATTGTGAGTAGACCTGTGAAGGATCGCATTGCCAGACACCAGCTCTTAGCCTACCTCAATACATAAGCAAATATGACATGTTCAAAGTAGGCATGTTATTGTCTCTTTTCAGGCCAGCAGTGATTTTGAGAACTTCTGATGGGATGTAAATTGAATGTAAATGAAGCTATGAACAAAAGCTCATCCCATTAGTCATTGTGCCAGTTGAAGTATCCAAGGAACAATTTCATCGCTGTGTAGCATATTTACTTTGGGGCAGAAGCTACCTGGGCTCATTGTTAAAGATGCCATTTGCTCTTTACGTCCAAGTACCTCTTTAACAAAACGGCACTCTATAAAAATTTAGTGTATTCCTGCTGTAATTAAAAAGCCCCAGTCATTTTTGCTTTTATGATATAAACTATAATAGCTGTAAAATCCCACAATTAATTTGTGCCAACATTTCATACTTGAAAAATTCTCATTACAAATTTCATTACTGATTCACTTATCTGTAATTTGTCCCATATAACCTAAAGAATATTAACAAATTTGGAGTCACTTGTTTCTCTATTAAAAGCTGGAGATAAAAGTCTTTTGCCTGATATCATTCCAAAATATTTTCTAAAGGGGGTATTCCAACATGTACACTGAAAGTGAAGCAAGTAGGGGGTATAATTTGTAGCTTTATATGACAATAACTGTTCTAGTTAAGGTAAGTCTTATGGAAGTGGTGATGGCAGCATCAGACTTGAGTTCAAATCCTGGCAAAGCACACACAGATGTGTCATGAGAGATTTAGGATTGGGTTTACTTACAGCTTCCCCCTGCCTCCTGTAGCTGCTGTGACCCCAAATTTCATTGCCTATAATTAGGCAGAGTGAGGCAATTTCATCAGTGACAGGAGCTGTGGGACAGGCAGTGGTAGAAATGTGTTTGTTTGTTTGTTTGTTTGTTTGTTTGTTTGAAATATGTTTATATTTGGCAAAATACAGAAACATAATAAAACAAGAAACATTAAAAACTTCCCAATACAGGCTGCCTTCAGATGTCTTCTAAAAGTCATATAGTTGTCTGTCTCCTTGACATCTGATGGAAGGGCATTCCACAGGGCAGGTGGCACTACCGAGAAGGCCCTCTGCCTGGTTCCCTGCAACCTCACTTCTCACAGTAAGGGAACTGTCAGAAGGCTCTTGGAACTGGACCTCAGTGTATAGAACATACACTGTGGCAATAAGATCAATAATAACACCAGTAATGCAAAAATGGGATAGTGCTGTGGGTTGCTTGTAGAGCTTCCCATGGGCATCTGCTTAGTCACTGTGAAAACAAAGACGAGATGGGCCTTCAGTCTGATCCAACTGGAGGCTCAGCTTATGGTCTTAAATGTTGGAACTGGTTCTGAGTCATGGTACTGCTGTATCCAATGAACTTGAATAACATTATAGTGGTACCTTGGGTTACAGACGCTTCAGGTTACAGACTCCACTAACCCAGAAATAGTACCTCGGGTTAAGAATTTTGCTTCAAGATGAGAACAGAAATCGTGCTCCGGCAGCGCGGCAGCAGCAGGAGGCCCCATTAGCTAAAGTGGTGTCTCGGGTTAAGAACAGTTTCAGGTTAAGAACGGACCTCCAGAACAAATTATGTTCTTAACCAGAGGTACCATGGTATACGAGAGAAATTGAGATCACTTGTCCAAAGGAGAACCATCTGAGGAACAAACCAATTTGGATCCTACAATCAGCAGGTGAGGTCTTGGTGGTGCTGCTAATACTGGGTGCTGTCCAGTTGCTTTTGACTCATGACAGGGCCCTTTCATACCTTCTAACTGCCACGATTTCACCGTGGCGTTCCTGGAAATACAGAAGCCATTCCAGCTTCTGAACTGATCTGGGAATGTCCCATAAATGGGGCAGGTTGTCTGGGCCATCTGGGTACAGGTGGGGAGGGTCCTAGAGTCCTCCCGCCTCCTTTCCAGAGCAAGCAAGCACTTATGGGGGGTTGGGGAGGAAGAGGGAGGGCTCTCGGACCGTGCCAGGCAATCATGCCTTCTTCCCTAAGCTGGACCAGGGCTTACTAGGCATTGGGAAGGAGGTGGGAGAGTCTATGTTTCTCTATTTTCCCTAGTCCCAATTTTCATCTGTCGAATGTTGAAGGGTGTGCCTTCAAGGCTATAAATGGAATTTTAAAAATTGAAGTCATTCAGCCAAGGTATGCTGAATCAGGCCTTCAAACCATGGGATGGACTGTGAACTTTCAGACCGATGACTAGCAATGACAACTGCCAGTTAGTGAACATCTTCTGAACTCTAGCAACAATAAGCAGTGACTTGGATATAACTTCTCTCCCTGTAATAACATACTGTCATAGCCCCGGCATTTTACTAGCTGTTATAACCACATTCATTTTATTCTAATTTGTAATTAACTCTTACAAAATTAAATTGGGAGATAGAAAATTACAACACCAACATAAATAATCTTGCTGCTGGATGTGACAAGCTTTTAACAAAATCAACAATAAAACTTACAAATGAAAGAAACACTTTCGTACTTATTGCTTTTTTTGTTTCAATCCTTTATAGAATATTACAGCGCAAATTGAAATTTTAGATGATTTAATAAACTTCAAAAAGATATTACAGCCAAGTAACCACACATCAGTAACAAACCGCCGTCTACCAAAGAAAGAAAGAAAGAAAGAAAGAAAGAAAGAAAGAAAGAAAGAAAGAAAGACACAACCCCAAGTGGTTCATTAAGGAAAGTCTGATCTTCAGCAAAACAGATTCTAGTGATTCTTTAAAAATAGATCCATAATATGTCTCTTTTTTAATATCCCTGCTTTTGGATCAGAGGACCTAAACACTGACGGTTAAATAGCTGAAGACCTGCATTTTTTCTTATTGTAGCTTTATACCTAATAAAGAGATTCCAAGGGACCTGTTGACCTGCTCTCACACCCTCCAAGTGCCCCAATTTTCCAAGGAGAGTCCCGGGTTTACAGAAGCCATCCCAGTTTCTGATTTGATCCCAGAATGTCCCATTTTCCCTTAAGAAATGTTGCAGAGTATGGAGTTATGAGCCCCCCAAGCCAAGGAGATGAGTAACTATACAACCTTCAGAAGACATTTGAAGGCAGCCCTGTAGAGGGAAGTTTTATTATTTTTATATTTATGTGGGACAGAGTGGACAGGTGGAAGTAAGTGTGTGGGCAGCTAGAGGAAAGATGTCCTGGCAGTGATTTGGCAGAGACTTGTCACACCCCTTTTTTGGCAGGCACCAGCCCCCCGCCCACCCCCAAACCTGTCAAAAGCATTACTTAACACTGTTGTCTGCATCAAAATCTGTTTCTCGGTAGCACCAGGTCTGAGCAGCTGTAATAGAATTAATTATACTTCATTTTGCTGTCTTTAACAGTATTGACCAAATTTAAGAACAAATGAGAAGCGCTTATCAAGCTTGAAGAAAATAATCCATCAGTGGCACAATTTAAATTCTCTGCAGTTCTCTTATTAATCAAAGTAACACTTACTATCCTATCTCCACTTCCCATTAACAGTCATTAAGCACTGCTGCTGATTGAAGCAATTTCTTTAGGGATCTCAACCTCATTTTTAAGAGAATCTTCTACAGTGGAAAACAATATCATACAGGAACACGGACTCCGGGAGAGGAAGACGGTTCTTCAATCATCTCCTGACCTTGACATTCTGCTACAGCAAAAGTTCACCCAAGTAAGGCAACCAAGATGTTCAGAACTTTCGGAGTCTTCCCGGTGGCAGGGACAGTGCCCCGTTATTAACACCGGGAAAGAATGGCTCTTTCCAGAAGGCAGCACTGGAAAGCAGGGTTAAGTGCCTGGCCTTAACAGTTGCACTTCAAATTGCATCGGAGGGCTATTTATTTCGCAAGATCCCCGTGGCAGAACTCCATTATAGGATGCTGTCAAGAGACTATGCAGACTCACAAACCTCTTGGATTGCGCTGCCCTGGCTGGGCCACGCTATTATCCCCACGCTGGATTTCTTTCTACCTTTCCATTACCCTGTAGCCCGCTATTTCTGGGTAGGCCAGCCTTCGACAGCTGGTCCTCTCCAGGAGGCTTGGACTACACTTCCCATCAGCCCCAGCCAGAACGGTCACCTTGGTGATCACTTTAGAAATTTATGTTGTGCCCACAAGGGCTATATTATAGTAATTACAGAGATATAAGATTGGGCTCATCACCTCCTGGCAAATAGAAGGGGAAGAAATGGAGGCAGTGAGAGATTTTACTTTCTTGGGCTCCATGAAGATGGTGACAGCAGCCACGAAATTAAAAGACACCTGCTTCTTGGGAGAAAAGCAATGACAAACTTAGACAGCATCTTAAATAGCAGAGACATCACCTTGCCAACAAAGGTCTGTATAGTTAAAGCTATGGTTTTCCCAGTAGTGATGTATGGAAGTGAGAGCTGGACTATAAAGAAGGCTGATCGCCGAAGAATTGATGCTTTTGAATT